TCAAGTTTTTCTCGGACTTGTTTTTGTCCTTCCCTGATGCTTTGTTGATCCTTACTGATCTCTTGCATCTCTACTTTCAACCTTCGGAAGCCAACTTGTTGAATCCCGGACTTGTTCTTCTCACAATAAGGATAGCCAGAAAGGTAGAGTTACCCTAAGAGAAAGTTTTTAACGAGAAGATGGCTTTTTTTTGGCTGCGTCGTCATCTCTACGGTGCTGATTCGGCTTCAAGGAGTGCAATCTTGAGACTACGGAACAAGCGAAAGGTATTGAGTTGATTTTTTCGTTTTTTAGAATCAATCTTAGGGTTTTTATTTTTTAATTGAAATTTACATGCAAAAAGGAATTAGAGAAATTTGTGGATGAAATCGGAACAATCGGAGGTGCAAAAAAGAAATCAAACAATTCTGTGGTTTGACAGACTACGGAAGAAATTGATTAATTTCATCAATCATTGCATGTTGAGAAAGTTTGATTAATATTTTTATTGAGTTGTTTTTTTGATCGAAAGAAGTGGTTGATTCTATTTTAGATCTAGAATTCTTTTGAAAGATGGTATGGATGATGTAAATAGATACTAAAACACCATAATATCTAAATTTCAAAGGATTGGATGTTTACTCACTTAATCTGATGATGAATGGATTTAATTTTTATGAAATTAGTTCTAATTTGTAGAATAATCTCCGCATTGAAATTTCTGTATTTGCAGTTTTGCATAGCCAAACAGGTTTTTGTTACCTTATTGAATGCATACCTTTAACTATTTGTGAACTGAATTTATTTAATTTATTTAAAAGTTTTGGAAGCAATCAGGGTGGTAATTGGAGAATTGAGCTCAAGAATTGAGCTTGAAACTAGAAATTTGAGTTAGACTGGAATTGTAATATTTTGACGACCACTTAAGATTTTTTTTTTCAAAATAAATGAAAAATTAAGTGTGAAGAATATAAAAAAAGGGAGTCGTCACTCGTCCAAATTATAAAGTGGGACAAGTCACCTAAAATGGGTTTGCGTAAAGATTGGGGTTCGGGGATTCGGTTAGGAGTGAGAAAAGACATACGCACACCTCACAATCCTCCGTTTAAACACGGTTGCATACTTTAAAATTGAGGTTTTAATTTAACTTATTCATTACATTTATATTTGAGTCTTAATAA